TGTGTGTGTGTGTTTTTTTGTTTCATTTTGGTAAAGAGTTTTACAGTGCTTGCGACACGAAATGCACCACGAAAAGGTCATACACATTGAAGGGGTTTTTTTGTGTGTGTTTTCGTTTAGTTTTGGTAAAGAGTTTTACAGTGCCTGCAACACGAATATGTCATACAAATGGGGGTTTTTGTTGTGTGTGTTGTTGTTGGGTGTGTTTTTGTTGGGGGTGTTTTTGTTGGGTGTGTTTTTGTTGGGTGTGTTTTTGTTGTGTGTGTTTTTGTTTAGTTTTTGAGCAACTCGAGTTGAGTTAATTTGGAGGAGTGGAGGTTTTTAGTTTAGTAAAAGTTTTACGGCACTTGCAACACAATAAGGTCATATACGTGTCGAAGAATAGATTACATGTTACAAGAAAGTAACATACACAAAAAAGAAGGATGAGAAATAAGGACGACAGATGTTTGATAGGAAAGAAGGAGCAAACCACACCAGAGCACCCGCCAACCACCCACTTTGCCACTTTGAGTAATTCGAAGGGAGTTAATTTGGACGAGTGGAGGTGCCTCTAAGTATAATGACAACGGAGCCGAAAAAGAGCCTCGCTCTCGCTCGAAGATTTCTTCGTGGGGTCCACCAGGCCCATTAAGGAAACATATTTTTAAAAAACAAAAAAAACAACAACAATCAGTCACCTGCAAAGACACACGACGACAGCCCCCTACCTCCAGATAGACACACAACATCCATACCTACCTACAGATAGACCACCGTACCTACCTGCAGATAGACACACAACAACCGCCCCGTACCTGCAGATAGACACACAACATCCATACCTACCTGTAGATAGACCATCGTACCTACCTGCAGATAGACACACAACAACCGCTACCTGCAGATAGACACACAACAACCTCCCCGTACCTGCAGATAGACACACAACATCCATACCTACCTGCAGATAGACCACCGTACCTACCTTCAGGTAGACACAACCACCACCCCGACCTGCAGATAGACACACAACAACCACCACCCCTACCTTCAGGTAGACACAACAACATCTGCCCCCTACCTGCAGATAGACCATGGCAGGTTTCCCAGTTGCCAGGTGGTATCCGCTGGCCAGAGCGACAGCAGCGCCCTCGTTGGCTGTGATGATGTGGTCCTTCTCCGTGGAGTTGCTGGTCACGTAGGCACAGAAATCTGGGGAAAAACCACACACACCACCTCATCATCATTGCCTTTCTCACCCTGCATCAGGATATAGGCCACGGACAAACACTTTCCACCTTTCCCTATCCTGGGCGAGTCGCTCAATGTCACTCCACGTCTTCCCACTTTTCTGTACATCAATTTCCGTGACTCTTCTCCAGGTTCCACGTGGTTTTCCCCTTGATCTTTTACCCTGTGGGTTCCAATCTAACACTTTCCTTGTTATGCAGTTGCTTGACTTCCTGAAAGTGTGTCCAATCTATTTGCACACACCACGTGCAATAGGCAAACTTCTACTAACTGAAATGTTCGGGGACTTGCTACAAAACTAACCACATATGTGAGGCAGCATGGTGAAATCAGGGGCTCTTCAAAATAATAAAAGTGAAGAAACTGGCATTTTACTGCAGATTTTGCCATTTTTATCGAATTTTTTTTTGGGGGGGAGGGGGTTCAACGCCTTTCATGCACATTAAAGAACACATTTCTATGTGGATTTTACTGAAAAGCATTGATTAAAGGCATAAAAGATGTAAATTTTCAGTTTCCACAGACTCTCGAGCTAAGGAAATAACGCAACTTTAGCTTCCACCGCGTCGTGACACATATTTACACCTTACAGTTACGGGCGTCGCTCCATGTTTTTTTTCTTAGTTAGTGTTTTACGGCACCTGCAACACAATAAGGTCATATAAGTGCCGAAGTTTAGAGGTGTTACAAGAGAGTAACAAACACGAAAAAGAGGGAGGAGAGATAAGGACGATAGATAGATGCTTGATAGGAAAGAAGGAGCAAACCACATCAGAGCACCCGCCGACAACCCACTGACCCACCTTTGAGCAGGGAGTCCGGCACCCCACAGAAAAAGTGAACCCCTGAGTCCCGCACAGACTGGTAGAACTTGGCCGGGTCCAGGCACTGACCGGAGGAGAGGCGACAGGCCGAGGAGCTGAAGGACTTGTGCTGCTGTCGTCGACCACCCGGACCCTCGCTGTGATGAGCCTGTAAAGAGGGGGGGGGGGGAGCGTGGCTCACATCATGACGATCTTTCTTCTTCCTCTTTTTTATTTTAAACAGTAAAACTTTGGTGTGAAAATAAAAATAGTACATGAATAGATTTAATGATGCTACCAACAATATTATTAGGTTGTTTAAGAGGCGGGACCTCTGAGTTAAATATCCATCTCCGAAAGGACTGAGTCAAATGGGAAATTCGTGTAAAGTGCCTTTCCCAAGGACACAACGTCTGAGTGAGCTGAGGCTCAAACCCCCGCACCCATAGTCTCACAATTATGGTTTCGATAGCCTGACCACTAGACAACCAATGCCACCAAACTTTGGTGTAACGTACTCTCTACGGACCTAAGACTTTGAATGTTTTAATTGAGGTGTATTTAAGACCAAAAAAATTAAAATGCTAAAATGAGGATTTGGGCTTCAGAAAGTGAACGTTACAGCTGACAATATTGTTTTACGATGTGTACGCTATGCCAGGGTTTTACTAGTTGAAATAGTTTAAGACAAAGTGTTATTATGATGTAAAATATACACACGGGAGGAAATGGAAAGTGGCTATTTGTACAGGTAGACGAATCTTACACAGGTAGCCGTTAGAGCAGGTTCGACAGATTAAAATCATTAAGGGGGGGCAGGCTGCTTTGACCTTGACCCTGTCAAGGGCAGCCCGGGCTGACAAGGATCCAACATCCCAGCAGAAGGGACGTGGACACACAAGGAAAAATTCTCTCCCACACAAGAAACGAACTCACGTCTTCTTCATGGGACGGCATTGTGCCTAACCATAACAAAAAGTCTAGTTTTGAAATCATCAATGGAATGTTGGCTAGACCCACTAGTCGAGCGAACTCATTTCAAATGAAAATAATAAGATATGGCAGGTTCAAACGGCTATTACGTGGGTTGTTACTGGTGTGTGTCCTACGGCAATACTTGCAAACCAATGTTATAATAAATGTAAAGGTGACAGCACGGTAAAGAAAGGCAACAGTTTCTTTGATGAAATGTGACTCTTAATTAATGTATTAATTAATGTAATTTTGCATCTCATTTGTATGCCATAATACATGTGAATGTAATTAGAAGCCAAATTTCAGAAGAGGATGAATAAAAGAAACCTCTTTACTTTAGTATCTTGAGAAATAGTTTTAGTTTTAGTGTAAGTTCTACAACACTTGCAACATAAATAGATCAAATATATAAAAGTGCTGAAGATTAGAGGTGTTACAAGAAAATAAGATATAAAGAAAAGAAGGAGGAGAGGAGATAAGAATAATAGACTTTTGGAAAAAAAAAAAAGAAGCAGCAAACCACACCAGAGCGCCAGCCATTAAGACATGGTTAGAGAGCATGACCCAGGGGTTAGCAATCTGCTTCATTCAAGAAGCTATCTTATCTGGCCCATTCATCTCTTCTGAGGACTGTCTTCTGTTCAAGTAAAGAAGTAAGTGTAGAGGTTTAACGCCCCTATCAACTTCAACACTACTCGCTTATTAAACACTTACAGTACCGCAGGCTCATATAGAGAAAAACCCTCCAGTACCACACCAGTTTAGAATACTGAAGCTGTGGTAGAATTCTTTTTAATTAAAAAAAATAACCTCGACAGCCCAAGAAACACGCTTTAAAACCATTCAGCTATCATATAGAGTGACTTCCTTTGGTTTTTACTTCAGTGCAGTGTATTCATTCGTTGTTTAATTATGTTTAGTGTGCCTGCTTGCTTCAGCAACAAAAGTCACCAGCGGTAGTGAGGGCATACTACGGCCCGGCAAGTCGCCAACGGTACTGTAAAATGTTAAGTTAAGAGGCAGCACCTCCAAATTTAATGTCCGTCTCCCATAAGACCTTTAGCTGAAATGGAATGAGAGCCTTGAAAACTCCACATAACCACCTGAGTTCAACAACACTCAGCCTGGAATTTGAACAATGGCCATCTGCTCCATAGATTCCAGCATGATACAAACAGAACTAACAGTGCACCCCGTCTGTCTTAGTCTTGGTTTTAGTAACGTTTTACGGCGCTTGCAACTGCATATGGTCATAAGAGCGCCAAGGGGTGGATGTCAACAAGAAAAGTCCAAACACGGAATCGGGCTTACTCTGCTCACCTCTCTAGACTCAACTCAACAGCACAAAGTCTGCTTCGACTATCAAGGCACCCCGGAAATAGCAGTTCACAAGAGAGTGACAAACATACAAAAGTAGAGGAAAAATGACCATAGTAAGGATGAGGAAAGAAAAAGCAGCAGTTCCCTCAACGTTGTTCCTGCACAGTAGGAGCATGACATTGATAAATCAGCCCATTTACAATTCTACTGTGCATAAGAACATGTTAATATCCCCCCTTTGTGAATGGCCTAAAGAAACTTCAGTCAGTATCACTGCCCTGGAGGGTGGGAGGGGGGGGTGGTGGTGTCCGTCTGTTTGGATCATAAACCTTAAGTAAACATTGAAAGCCGGTTGTGTAAACAGCAGTTTGATTAGATTTACAAACTTTCTCGCTGGCTGTTTCAAAATACACAAAGCCTGGTGCAGTTCTCAAAACACCTCAAGTAACTTCATTTCTTCTTTTTTAGTAGAGTTTTAGGGCACTTGCAACATAAATAGGCCATTTTAATTCAAGTACCAATCAAAGGTGAGTAGTGGTACTAGAGACTAACATTCAAAGAAAACAAGGAAGAAGGAAGAAAAAACGAACAGATGTTTGACAGGAAAGAAGGACTAAGCCACACCAGAGCACCTGCCAACCACTCAGACTTCATTTCTAATTCAGTCCTTTCAAGCAGCACTAAAGGACCTTAATTCACATACTACTTTAACTAATACTGCTTCCCAGCACGCTTTAGTCAACAGTTACAAAATTAATTCAAAATAGGGACAATTTTTTTTTTTTACTCCATAAAATTAGCTGTCAACATTTCAACAGGTAAACATGTCATACTGTCCACTTCTAGTCTCTTTACATCTTATGTCAACACAAACAAAACCTACATTCAATTGAAAGATCAATCAATTTAAAAACTCATAACACCTGAGGCGGGCATTTAACTATTTCTTCAGGACCAATCTTGTGTGCTGTAGTAATATATTTATATTATACTGACCAATCTTGTGTGCTGTAGTAATATATTTATATTATACTGACCAAGCTTGTGCGGTGTAATAATATATATATTATACTGACCAATCTTGTGTGCTGTAGTAATATATTTATATTATACTGACCAA